CAGCTGACCATAACAATAGCTACAGCTGACAGTAACAGAGGATTGTTGGAATCAGTCTCAATCAGTTACAACAAGCCACTTTGAACGCTGAACAATTAAAACGGACGATTAACTTATCAGGTTAGCCACTGAGCAACGCCGGTGCGCTGCTGGTGCACTGTTGGTGCACTGTTGTCACCATGATGATGATGATGGATCACCAGACCTGGGTCAGAATCGGTGATGAAATGCACAGGTCTACCCTATACCTGCCAAGAGGGCAAAGCTGTGGTGGCGGGTACTCTGGTGACCGTGAAATTTCCCAGGATGATTTTGGTGCCAAAGGCAACAGCGATGGCCAAAATGGCCGTGATAATAGTGGAGTAATTCAGCACAAATCCGTAGATCTTTAAAAAAAAGAACAAACAGAAAACCAAAGTAAGCCCTCTATTAGAAAATTTTCCTTTTAAACAGACTTCCAACCCCTATCTGACCAACCAAACAACTTGAACCAAGTTCTCCTGTTCCCCTGCTTCAATCCTTAAACGAATATTACAATCTCAAATTCAAAATTCAATTGGATTCACTCAATATATGTTGTCACATCACCAATCTTTGCAGCTATGGGCTTGAGTTCCAACTGACCTATTACTGATACAAGTTGGCCGCATACCTAGACAACCCTGTGGAATTTTGTATGCCGAGTTTTGTTTGCCTCTCAGATTTTGTACACCCCACGTCCATTTTGTATATCATGTAACTGGGCAATATTTCCCAAGCTGTGATGAGGCAATCCTACTGCGATAGGTCAATAGGATAGTGCAACAGGAAATTAGGTGGGTCTAGAAATAGTATAAATGTGTAAATCTTTCTGGAAAGGTTACCATTTATGTCCTTTTATCATACAAAGGACTGATTATTACAGTACCACTGCAATGAATAACCGTGAGATTCTTTATCACCTCTGTGCCTTTTTGCTGTGAGACCAGCATGTGTAAAGGAGCCTAACCCTTGGAACCCTCCTTGAATCAAGACTACTACTAGTACTTACGGTGAATGCAAGTGGGGCCTGTCTGATGAACATAATAACTGGCATGCGTTCTTGAATTGGGCAAATCATCTATAAATGCAATCCACCAAAAAACACTTTTTTTACACAGGATCCTCTATGAAAGGACTGGCGTTTATGGTTAGTTTTCATTCTTTTGGCATTAATAATCAACAAAAAGAAGTTCTGACCTGTCAATAGAGGAAGGGAACAAAGTTATACAGCAACGCTTTCTTCAGGTACTTACCGCCACTATTGTCAAAAATTATCTCAGAATCTTATCAAAGCAATCAGTGTGGTGCATTTACGGGCAGTACAGGAACCAGACATTATACTCCTTTGAATTACACACTGTGATGGGCACCCATTAATTTAAGCCTTCATTTAACTCCAAAATTCAACAGGAAAAAAAAAGCAAATCCAAAAAATGGTATTCAAATTGCCAGTTGGGCAGGACATTTCACTACAAGTCTGTTTGATTTCTCAAATGCCAATGTCAAAATTCAACAATTTCGTGGGGCCTGACGAACAGGGGAGTGATACGGAAGTTCTCTGACAAGCAGAGAACTGGAAAGAAATTGTTCCAAAAGTGAATTTCCACTCAAAGAGTAAATATGTGGCTTTTCAAAATGAAATGTGCCAAAAGTGGGAATTTTTGGAAAACTGATATATTAACATATATATATGTTAATTCGGCAGGATGATTTGTACATATAATACATGTAACAATTAGGATAAAAGTAGGGTGACAGTGTGACATTATTCCTGCGGCTTTGCGTCTTTGTTTTCAACACTGTCTCAACATTTCTGAAAAGGCAAGAATAATGCTGTCATTTTTAAATATGTGATCCTACTTAAACTTTGGAATTGAATAGAAGATTGGTTACACTTTCCAAATATTACAAAACCTAACAATTAACCTCCCTTTCAATTTATGACTTTGAGCCATCATAACAGGAAATAACGGAGTGCGACTTATTTTGTCCTGACAGGTCACTTATCATGCCACGACTGAGCGATTGAACTTAAAATGGGTGTGTGATTTTTGCCCACAGACCATAGCACTTTCAGATAAGTTGAAAATAATTCCATTTTTCTTTTACCCCTCAAGCTAGACTTCATACAATTGGTAAACCCTTGTGCCATCAATTCATGAGGGCTGCCGTCATGCTTTGATTCACATCAGAGCATAACTGTGTCCTCACACAACAAGCTCACTGAGCTAATTCAAGCACTGCCCTGTTAACGTGCAAGGATCCAGTGTGCATGTATTGTGCTGAGTGACACAACATACGGGAATGGAATTCTAGGGTTAAGCCTCGTATTACAACTCACAGGTGTCTGTGAAAGCCATGATGTGAGTTAGAACGGAAAAATTATTTCATTTGGAGCTCACTAACCCCTTCCTCAAACAAAACATCTTCCTGTCCTAGTTCAATTGATGCCATACGTGAGAGTTTGATGCTGGTAATTCTGAAGAAAAAAAAAACCCATTCTTGAGCTGGATTTTTTACATTGGAATTGTCCACATAGTGATTTATATTGCAAAAATTGGGGAGGAGAATTCCTACTGGATGTGTTCCCTTGGTCTATAGGCAACAGTGTTCAATAGACCCTGCTCATACAGTAGGAACCAGGTAAGTGCTGGAACCTCATACTTCAAGCTGATTCAAAGTTGTGTCAAGCTTCAGGTACACGTTTGTATTACAATTACGTCAATCGAAGCTTTCCCCAAATCAAAAACTCAAAGACAGAGTATGCCATAGGTTTCAAAGAGCTGTGTGCATTGTGTGGTATTTTTTGTAGGAAGTACAGCGTCTATTGTGCTATTACAGACAATCTCCCCCTTCCCCCGCCATGACGGATTAACTGACCTTACATTATAGCCCCGATGATCCCCAACCCAACAAGCTCCAATACCAGGCTTTGTTGGAATCTGTTAGGACGAATACTGCACCAGCAAACTAACTTGTGTTTTACGTGGGATTGGACATAATGCAAATAAACCGAGTCCAACTGCTTATGAG